CTCCGGTTATTTTCTTAACAAAGTGCTACAAATTGCCAGACTGGCGCAACTATTTCAAGATAACACAACAAAGCGTTGGAATCTCCTCTTAGTGTGCAATGGTAAACGCGTGTTAATTTCTATTTCTGTGATTTGAGAATTCCATCGTTCATTCTCTCCGCAACAGCTTCACTTGCGAATGTTCTTCTTTTTCGATTCCATTACAACCATCGATATATTTCACGACGTACCGTATGCGTATTCTGCGATTAGAAATACACACAAATCCGACGAATCACACATTGAAGACAGGTCGCGTGCATCGAGTAACGGCGATTAATACGAAATCGGAACGGGGTGCAGCATCGCATCTCTCGTCTGCGCTGCATCGGTTCTAATCCGCACGATGTATCTACATAACCGGACTATCGATTTGAATGATCATCAGGATCAGACTCCGTACAATAAGGGGCCAGTTAACCGCTCGTGTATCAGGGGTTAATGGCCTCCGGAAATTGCTATTATTCGCCATAGAATCAAACCGTTGCAACGCAAAATTATACCGTTGGACATTTATACTTAGCCGACGATTAACCTTGCGGTTTATTTTCGATTCAATTTGTATCCTTCTAACTTTAAAAAATATATCACGAGTTTCGGTGAAATAAACCGGAGCACCGTTATTGGCGAAAGATGGAAATATAAAAAGTCGAGGATCGCAACGAGTTTAAATTAACGAAAACATCTACTTTGCATATTTTATTTCATGGGATCGCGTGATTCGATAGACGATCTATTTTCAGTGGGTTGCGGAATCGATCGAAGGCGTGGAAACAAGAACATATAAACACCGTGAGAAAACGCTTCCAGGAAGCTTCGGCAACGACCCACGCATTGCTTTTGCGTCGTCCCAAATTACGTGTGTCAAGAGATCACGGCCTCTTTTGGCCTCTCCCACCCTTTTCGGTTTATACTACTTGCTCACCGACAGACGAACGCTTCGAGGACATTTCCAGCCGTTTACGAGGAAATAGATGCCTCTTTGGCTTATATGGCCACGTGTGTCCTTTTCGGCCGATTAGACGTAGTCACGATATACAGGCTGATTCATTGGAATTTTGGGATCTATGGTGTACGGATAAGCGTGAAGCTCGATTACGCAGAATTTAAATAATATTCCAAAATCGTACGATATATTCCATAAACGATCATCGAATTTCGGTTTGACAGCAAAGGCTAACACGTATAATTGGTCATAATTCATTACGTTCCTCTTGTGACTCTTACAAACAGATTTTACAATCAAATTATTTTCGACGCGTTTTCACGTCGATCATGTAACGATAAATATTTCCCACGTTGTCGCTCTGTATATCGATATTATAAAAATTTGTTTAAACTTCAAATGAAAATTTTATATAAAAAGGATACTTCTATGCGACTGTGTAAAAATTAAACGATAACCTGGAGAAGACGTACGCTTACTAACGCTGATATAAAACATGTTAAAATTGATGATACTGTGATGGCATAAATTTGAAGAAAAAAAAAGTCCATAAGAATAAAGTTGCAAAGAAGTTCCATCACTCAAAATCTCCCAGTGACCTTAATTTCTCTACCTGTATCAATTCGTCACGAAATTCCATACTGCTTTCCCGATTACTTCTGACCTACGTATAGTTATTTGTCCTTAATTCGGTGTATATTGGGAGACACAGGAGAAGCTGACATATCGTCTTAATGATTTCATCGATTTCAGTCGTTGTTACACGACAAATAGACACGCGCGTTTTGTGCGACAAGAATTACTTGTTACTTTGAAACTGAGTTCCCTGCGGCGAGCGTACGAAGCGCGATACCGTGCTAATTGATCTACATTTTCGTCGTCCTTGACCGTCACATTTTCCTTTTCCATGGAAACCTCGATCTCCTTAAACGGCTGTATTACAGCCACGACCTTCACGCGAGGAAATTTCCACTTTTCCACTTCGTAACTTTCATTTTCGTGCCGGTCAGTTCGTTGCTAGTAGTGGTCGCTATGATAGCGCAAATACAGCGCGTATTACACGCCGGGATGAAAATCGCGAAAACGTGGAAGCACGGCTATTTAACTTTCGATTGAATCGGACGTTCAATTTTCTGTCAAAACGCAAGTTCTAGCCAACCTTAACCCATCGAGGCTGGAACTTACGTTGACGCAGCATTTCATTTCATTCCCTCTTGATCGATTCACGTTATTCAATTCTGTTAAATTCGTTCGATTTATGCGATGCTGAAAAACAGTCGCAAGAATTCGCTGAATATTACTTTCGTTACTACTTACTCGAAGCGTCAAATACAAAAATGTATATCATTACGATGAACTAGCTCTTTCCTTTTCCAAATAAATAAGACAAGTAAATAAAGTTTCAACCAGATGCTGTGTTATCTACGCCCAAGTTGTATAATAGTACTCGATAAACGTAGTAACGTAATAGAAACATCGAGAGAAAATAGAATGCTTATTCTACGATTTTCATTCATGAAAGAAAAAAAAAATCGATTAAGATTAATGGAAACCGAAGAAATTGCATCACGGTGGTCGCGATAACACGTTATCGCTGCAAGGTATACGTCATGTGTGTCACAACCGTTGCGTCAAACTCGTTGAATCGGTTCGCGTTACGTAGGTAAATGCTTGGTGCGCGTCTCATTAAAAATTAGCCGTACACGTTCATTGTCTTCGTTCGTAGTCCGATCGTTTCGTCGACCGAGTCGTTCTATATTAAAACCGTTGGAAAAGCGTCCCTCCCCAAATGCACCGGACCGCGATACCAGGGAGATGATCTCGACCTTATTAAACGGCGCAGACCTTTTTTAAACTATAAGTCGTCGGCGTTCCCGTTCTACGATCCCGACGGTGATTTCTCGCGATCGTTATCGTGTTTAGTAACGTTCTCGACGTACATGTGTCCGCGTTTCTTTTCCATCGGTAGCGACACGTTGTCGTTATTTTTAGAACAGAAGCTGATTACGGAAGAGTCGAGATAATGGGGATGATCGGTCGTAACGATGCGAGCTGTCGTTTCGTGTTCATAGTCGAGAATACAATAACTTTCATCGTTTCGTTAACTGGTCACGTATTTTATCCTGTCGGTTATCGAGGATGGTGTACCTTTAATAAAATCTTCTTATCTCTCTTTTCCATCGAGCGTAAATGAAATACGGCTATCTGATACGTTTCTTTACTCTGCATACGTAAAAGTGGTTACACGCTAGCTAGATGGTTATTTCTATGGGAAAATTTATGCGAGAGAAAATTTAACCGAACGAGAGACGTGACAATAATTTTCCTCAGATCAACCACCCTTCCGTCGCTAGCTTACGTAACCATTTTGTTATATCTGATGGTCAATATTTCTCTCGTTTCCCGGTCTCCGTCACAGCTCCCTGCATTCGCGTGACGACGAACCAGCCATGTTTATTTCACACCCGAACGAAATTCTGACAGTCGGGTAAGGATGGAAAGAACGATCTACGATAAAAATTTTGTTTACGAGGGAACACGCTCTTTCTCTCTCTCTCTCTCTCTCTCTCTCTCTCTCTCTCTGTCTCTCTGTTGAAGGTTATAATTTCAAGATAATCACAATAACACAAAACATGGTTGCGTCACGGCTTTTTCTCATCGAGTTACGATCCTCTTTAAATCGTGTCTTCATTCTGATACGCGGTTACGTGACTTTCGATTCTTTACGTATGCGATACAACCTACTATAAATAATTTAACGTGATTTAAGCTCGCGCACGTAAATTGACAGTTTTTTCTTATTATAGCAATCGGTCAAATTAAACGGCCACTAAACGTAATTTATCGCAGAATCGTTAAATTTAACGTTTCCGTGCGCTCTGTATCTTTCGTTTAAAATTTAACGATCATCGATATCAGTATGCACGCTCGTCCGCAATAACTTCGTTGCATAATTGATCAATTAATTGAATTTTGTTTACTAGCGCCGCAAAAACCGTTTCGTTGGCTAGCCAATTAATTGTTCGCAGCATGTTTACGCGTAATTAGCATTTTCCACGATTTACGAACGAACGTACTTCGAAACCGACTCGAAACGACCATTGCGGTTCCTCGCTCGAGCGCCTTTTTATTTACTTCCGTTTAATCGCTTCCGATTAATCGAATGTCGTGCAACGTGTTTTCTACGCGCACGTGGTGCAGAAGACAGCGTGTGCGCGCGCGAGCTTCTTCCACGCGTGCAAAAAGTACGTCGGCACGGAGAAGCAGAGACAAAAAAAAAACATTGTTCACGCGATACCCTGAGCGCGGAACAAGTGTCGCAAAGTCGAAGTTGAACGCTGTTTCGCGAGCACGTGACAGATATGTATATCTCGTGCTGAGCCAAACAATGGTTCACGAGTTGAAAAAAAAAAGACATCCAGAATGGTTTTCAATTTTAACCCAAGTTCTATCGTAACGAAACGGCTAATTATCTTGTCTTTTCACAGCGGCACGGCTTTGGCACGGTATACGACTGCTTATGTCGTATACTGATTTTTTACAAGATATTCAAATTTTACCAATATATGTAACCACGATCAGAATTCTAACGAAATGCGAAATCACGAAACTTCAAGAAGTTTTGCACAACACGCGTAATATTAATAAACGTACGAGTAATCGAAACAGTTTCGTGACTCACTGTAGACTGTACTTATATAGTAATCAATATTTCCAGTAAATGCATTTATCCCCTAATATTGACACTATCTTCGTAGCAAACAAACTATTCTAATCCGCATGCTTAATCGCCACACCATTATCGAAGCACCTTTTATCGAAAAAATCATGCGTCTAGACGCCGGCGAACAAATAACATTCTCTTCGACATACTTTGGCCGACACGCAATTCGAACGGCTATGGGACACGATCGCTTGTTGCGCGTTATTATCGCAGAAACCGTTCAAATTGCCGGCTAAGGAACGTGCCGAAACTTTTTACGCGCCAATACTTACGCGTGTCATAGATACATACATACATTCCTGGCCGCGATGTGGATCCGTGTCGTTCGTCCTCGATGATGACACGTCGATAACACAATCACTACCGAAGCACCACTGCCGTGTGTCCCACATTACTCGGCATGCCGATAGTCCGAAATCACTGCGTAAATAACGAAAATAGATATGAAGTAAAAAGGCCAAGTAGAACGATTTTTGCACGTACATAGACGTGTAGATGTACGCATGCAGTTGCTCACGGCGGTCTGTTTACACGCTTCAAGTTTCCAGTGTATGTGTACGTATGATATTATCAATAGAAACCAAAAGGCAACGCTATCAGTTATACATCAGTGCAAAGTGAAAAGGTAAATTTGCTCGGCATATTAAGGTGTTTGGAGGAAGACTTAGGAGAGACTTTTAGAACGAAATTTTATCAGAAATTACGAAACGTTTAACGTTTTGATTTGATCAGTTCTACGAAGGTTCTTAGCGACGTCTATGTGGAGGACTTCTTCGTACGTGTATTATATATGTTATATGGACATTTGCATGTATGAATTTTTTTATATGTGTGTCAAACTTGTTTCGACTTCGAGGAGAACTTTTGGTGTTTCGAGAAAATCTTTCGCGTAAAAGTGAAACAGATCGCGCGTACCAACAACGACAAGAGATAAGATGTTTTATTTCGTATAGGAAACTTAAGACTAAGGACTAAGACAAAACTTTTTCCATCAGAAACTTTTCTCTTTGATTCTCTGTGACGTTTAACGAGAACAGAAAACGGTTAAGTATACTTGTTCTACGATTTCACATAGCTGTGGAAATATGTTCAAAGAAAATGAACCGCAAAACAATTGCTGTGAGCTAATGTCTTTGTTCGTTTTAAAAAACGTTTCCGGCTCGAGGAGTACACGTAGATATTTGTGATTAATTGTACAAGTATAGGGGTATATACGTAGGTACAAGTGCACGTGGAAAAGGAGCTGGATCGATGTGTACGGTAACGCGACCGATTACAAAACACACGACCACAGACTAATTCTCTTTTTCTGCGTCGTCGCCTAGCCGGAACTTTTTCAAGGCTTCGCCCGTAGAAGATTTCACAAGAGACACGAGTTTGCTCTATACACCACGAAATTCCATCTTTTTTCTTCCAACACTTCGCTCCTCGGACTATTTAGGACAAAGACTGCGTGCGTGAGTTGATGCGTACGTGCGCGCGCGTGCTCACTCCTTCGACTGACGCGCGATGATTCGTAGCCGCTTCTAATGCGTAGTTAGCTTCGCGGACTCCGGTAAAATAAAATAAAACATAAAACATAAAGAGAAAGAAGAAACACAAAGAACCACTCCCCGAAGGTTAAAGCGCCGAGACGCCACCACCGCAAGTAGCCTCTGCTCTCGACGATCTACGCACCGCTTGTTTACTTTATCCCACCTTCGAACAGGTTGTTGATACGCGATGGAATCATATTTACGTACCAGAAGAATTCATAATTCACGGCACTGAACTTCGTTAAACAGTTCGATCTAGTCTGCTTCTTTTGTGTTTACTAGCACAATTGGAATATCGTTTCTTATGCGACTATAAAGATTTAAATAGTACAACGGAAGTACGAATTCACATGGATGACGAACAGACATCACCAAACGAACAAGTACACCAAACACCGTTCAAGGCGACCATGTTATCGTCACTGGCGCGCCTCGGGTTGCTTTTTTAAACATGATACCGTTAACTCCCCGCGGTACTCACGCGCGACGCGTTCGACACACGCGTACACACTACACGCGACGAAACAAAACGCGGCTCGGCACGTCCGATTGCTGTAAGAACCGCGTAATTCACATGCGACGCTAAGAAAACTCGCCGCGACGGTAGGGGAATGTCATAAAAGTGGGGGTAGGGAGAAAGGGTGGTCACGAGTGGACACGACTGCGAAATTCTGCTCTCGTGTATTCGGAAATCCTTCGATCGTTGAATTTCCTTCGCACGACAGGATATACGTCTATGCACGCACGATCGCTTAACTCGAGACGGAGAAAAACAGAGAATATGTAAAAACACGTGCCACAAAAGGCAGGCAGACACAGACAGAGTAGCACGACTGACGGACGAAAGGAAAAACCGGTCGGGAGGAAACTATAATTGCGACGCACGACGTGAGACCGTTTTCTTTCCCGTCGCCATTATCGAATGATAAGAAAAAGAAGGGTTGTTCCGACAAAGTGGGAGGGGGGTGCGACAAGGAAGGAAGCATGGAAAGCATGGTCTTCCTCTAGACTAGATAAAGAGAAAGGTATACTATATTGGAGAGGAGAGAGAGGAGAGAGGAGAAAGAGAGAGAGAGAGAGAGAGAGGCGGCT